GGAGATGGAGTCTGTTTCCTTTTGACAGCTTGCCGAATTCGTGACAGTAGGAAGAAATGCAGCCCTGCTCAAATACTGTCCTTAGTAGTCTGGTAGATATATACAACCCCATTTCTAAAAACATTGGGTCGCTGCAAATCATGTAAACTCTATAGGTAATTGAAAATAGTACAAAGTCAACATATTGAATGTTGAAACTGAGAATTTTTTTTGTGTGTTTGAAAAATGTATGCAGTACATAATAACATTAAAAGATTCAGAGAATCTGAGGAAATCTCTATATACAACGGACAAGGCCAAAAAACAGTATTTGCTGGCAATTATTTTTGGGCCCTCAGGCGGCACTGCATTAAAAACAGACATGATTCTGTAGTGGAAATCATTGCAGGAGCTCAGAAACACTTCTGAAAACCACTGTCTGTGAAAATCATTCTTTGCTGCATCCACAAAATTAAGCAAGTTAAAACTTTAAAACACAAAAAAAACATATATACACAGGAACCAGAAATTTGGTTTTCCAGCCCTGTAAAAGTCATGGAAAATAATAAGTGCTCAAATAATCATGGAACTTCCAGGATTTCCCCCCAGTGCAGTTTGTCATCTCATCATATTTGAAGCACCAAAGAGGAGAAAACAAATGAACAAGTCAAATGTAAGAGGAAAAACACACCACCTCTGTTTCTCTACCAAGACCTGCATGCCTAGTTTCTTCACTGTGAAGCTGGGTGTATTCTTGACACATTGAGCATGTTTACATGCACCAAACAAACCAATCATAATCAGATTTCTGCAGTTATTTGATTATTCAAATGGTCATGTAAACAGCACACTCCGATTTTTTACGGTCTTGAAATCTGATTAAGAAATCTGATAAAGAGAGCTAGATTTTAGCTCAGTAATCAGATTTCTCAGTGCATGTAAACTGTTACTCTGATTTCTTTTGGATTTCTCAGGTCTGCATATGTGCAAAAACAGACTGTGGTACCAGAAATAAGCAAGCAGCATATAATACAGCACCAGCAACATGGCTACAAAACACTTTTGGAGCGATGCTGAAACCAGCCACATGCTTGACAAAGTGAAGGATTTAAATATTTTTCAACTTCTAGATGATGTATATTCATATTTCCAAGTGGAGCGATGTTAAAAAAAAAATAATTCTTCTTCTGTGAGTTTACTGGATGGCTGCAAAGCAGAAGTTTTGCCTGACTTGTAGAGTTTTATCTTTTAATATCATTATTATATTATATATTATTATTATCTGATTAACAAAGTACCTGTAACATGCATTGACTGTATCACTCATTAAATCAAATTTTCTGCTGTTATCAGATTATTGAGTGCATGTAACTGCACCCATTATAAGTAGTGCAATGGTGCGCATGCCTTAAATCACGCAATCGCAATGCCTCTAACCCCACACAAATGTTTGTAACTTGGCGCTTACCATGCATGCGGATGACACTCTACATGAATGAATTTGAAGGGAGATTTGCTGAGCATTTTCGCCTGTACAGGTGCCTATATGATAGCTTTAATAACATGTCAGAGAGAAACCGGCAGCAATGGAAACGCTACTATAAAAGCTAACATGTCTAAAAGCTAAAGTGTCTAAAATCACAATATTATGGCTGTTGAACATTAGTTGCTTAGTTATTCATTCATTCATTATTGTTTTATTTGAACAGAGTAAAATAAAAATGATTTGTGAAATACGTTGCTATTTATGTGCTGAATGAAGCCACAGACTGGGTTGTGGCTCCATCAGTGGCCGGTCGCGAGCCACGGAGGTCGGCATGTCAGAGAAGGCTGTACCAGCCGCAGACACAGCCAGGGTCCCACTGACATCTTTGCCAGCAAGTGGGGCCTCCACGACATATTTGCCAGCAGGCAGTGCCTCCATGACATATTCGCCAGCAGGTGGGGCCTCTGCAACATCTTCGCCAGCAGGGAGTGGAGGAGAAAGGAGGCAAACTCCGAGGCCTCTCGAAATCCCCAAAGCTGAGAGGGAAAGAGAGCTTGTTGCTCTGCCTTCCCGTCACCACCCCTGCTCCACGGCTCGTCTGCCTGGATCGAACAAAAGTGGCTTCACTGCAGGACCAGAGGTGGCACCTAGGAGGTGGACTCGCTACTCGCACCATCCCCCACTCACTTGCGGTGATCCTCTCCATGTTGTCCTCACCAGGCTTCGTCCCCACTCAGAATTCAGGCCCTCACCTTCCTGCCAGCTCTCGTGGCTGTCACTGGGGCCTGGTGGACAGGCACACGCCATACCAATAAATATAAAAAATATGGCTTACTGAGATCACAGGTTCAAAATGGTAAAGACTTTGGCTGTTGACTAAAGACTATAAATAAAGCATTTGAGCAGGACTGCATTATTTCTAAATTATATAGACCAGAAAGGTATCTAGAGCTTGTCTTCACCATATGAATGTCTTTCTGTCTTTGATGTAAACATGACAGTAAAACCTTTTGTTTGAGAGACTTTATTTATTAGTAATAATATGATGAAGTATAAGATCTACAACAACAACACAACAACAACAACAAAAAGAAACCTAATTTCAAGAACAGGATGAACTTGTTTTGAACTGGATACCTGATTATGTGCTGAACAGTGGAGGGCGGGGCTTCAGTGTGCAGTAGGTGTCGAGAGGAATCAGGTGTAACTGGATATTTGCTGGGGTTGCAGCATCCAAGGTGGCAGACCTGCTGCAGCTTTGTTGCGCATTATTTTGAGAAGGAACAGACGAGTGAAATGATGGTAGGTTTCCTTCAAAGAATTTTAACCTCATTGTTGGAACCACTTTTGTCAGCTGTAACTAAACTTAGCCGAAATAAGTGTTAGTGTTAGTCCTGGGTAGAACATCAATGCTGTGTTTTACTGGCTAAGGCTGTATGGACTTAAACTTGAAAGAGAAACATCGAGATGTTGTTGGGTCACAATTTGTGTGGACTTGTCTCAGAACCAGCCTCGAGGAGTTGTTGAGAGTGGACAGTAGACTGTGACTGTAACTGTGCTCTAGCAGAGTGAACTGTGATCAGTCTCAGCTCTCAGAACTTTGGCTTTACTGCTTTTCTCTACAGATTATTTACAGTGATGTAGCCGCGTCAGCTCAGAAATATGTTCAGGTTGTGACAGCGGTACAAAAAAGTAACTAAGTAACTCAGTACTTAAGTAGTTTTTATGAACTACTCATTTACTCTTACTTGAGTAATTTTATTTATTAATACTTGTACTTGAGTAAAGGGTTTTTCCATATTCTTTACACCCCTGGAAATAAGACATTATGCTATTAGATATAAGTGAAGATAAACATCCTCCTGGACGTCATATATGCCCACTTAGCTGCTTTATATGGAGGTTTTGCAGTATAATGGAAATACGACTTTTTTAAGTTAGAATAAGTTCATTTTTATTCAACATAGAGTGTTATTTTATGGAAATTGGTGCGAGCATTATAGCTTTTCTTGAGGCTGAATCAAAGATGAGTTTGTATGCATCATCCTCATTCATAACACCAGCATCCTGTTATTTTTGCTGTCCTCATCAAGGCTAAACTTCTTATCAGGAAATTAAAACCTCTTGTCAAAGACACCAGCACCAGCGTTTACTTTACCATGTTATTTTAATATGTCTTCAACAGCTTGACAGTACAGTTTCACCCTTTTTTTAATTGCACCTTTACTTTATATGGAGGTTCCAGACCACTTACAAAAACACCCACACTTACAAAAACGGCAATTTGTGGGCAAAGAAGTAGGTAAATTCTAGCCTTCATAACTTCAGAACAGTTTAAGCTACAGACATGATCCACATATCAGGACATTCAGCTATTAGGACCCAGCCCTAAATACCTAGCCTTATGATGTCAGCATCAGAGAGTAATTCGGCCTGGAAAATCCTGATGTTATTGATTTGTTTAGTTTTTTTTTGTTTTTTTTTGGCCTTTATATTAAAGGGTTAAACCAGCCACATGATTCACACATCAGATCACTCATTAGATTCTGCCTTCACAATCCAGAGTGATTTGACCAGCAATCCAGCTCCAAAATCAGCCAGCAATCCAGCTCCAAAATCACCCAAACCCCACTTGCTACTGTTATATTACATCTCTGCTTTTAGCCTTCAAATTACAAACAACGGGTTAAAAATAGCGACATGATTCACACACCAGAACACTCAGATGAACCTGCCCTGATTAGCCAGAGAGAGAGAAACCAGCTCTAACATCCCACAACCCAGAAATACAGCACAAACACACAGACAGATCACTGTAAAACCTGGTATTAGCTCTCTGCTTTAGCCTTCATATGGCGACCAAAGGGTTAAAGAAGTATCCACTGAACGGTTCTTTAGGGTTCTTCTTTGGCATCCATCCAAAGAACATTAACAAAGTTATGATGAAGAGTGATTCAAATAGTTCTTGACCATAGTGCTGGTGTCTCAGAGCAAAACACAATCATGTAGCTGAATTCGAATATTACTGTACTGTTCAGTGCCCAGAGTGAGTAATCAGAGCTCCAGATGGGCTTGTAATGTTTTGAGCCCGTTACAGTGAGCATTTACAATCATATGCACAACTTTGGGCATCTCTGGTCAAAGTATGTGAAAATAATTGAACACAAACTGGGGTACTAGTACCCCCAGGGTTTGTCAGTGACACTGGGGGAACGTTAAAAAAAAATCTGACATTAATCACTATTTAATTTAATTTAATCATCTGGCAGCACAGTTGCACAGGAACCTACCCCAATATGAGTGACACAAACAGCTTGCAGGAAATGGCAAACTCACACTCAAATAGTTCAGTATTTAGCAAAGAAAGTGCTTCACTCCAGACACTTCTGAGCACAGAGTGTTCAAGCGAAACTAGAGTGACAGAAGAGCTAATTCAGTTTATCGTGCGCTGTTGTGTATGTATATGAAGTGCATGTCCTTCACTGACTGTTATTGAGGCCTCTAAGATGTTTGTTAGTCATGTACTTGAGTTAGTTTCACTTTCACTTCCGTGCTTTAGATTACAGTTTTAGTGAGTTTGTGGTTTCAGTGTCAGCGTTTAGCCATTAGCATTTTGTTTCCGTGTCTGTAGCGGTGATAAATTATGAGTGGATGATCTTATTATTATATTCATATATGCGATCTGTGGCTCAAGTAAGTAAACATTTTGCTACTTGCTGTTCATTTTATGGCCACATACTTTCTCACAGACACACTTCTTACATATTGATGCTGCAGTCTTTCTGGTTAAAATGTAGGAAGTTCGGTGCTTTGTCACCAGGAACTCCAGACTGACAGTGAGACAGAAACATCGCTATTTAGTAAGGTATTGTTTATTTAATGGTAAACATTCACAGAAATGTCTGTTGTACACTGTCAGAAAGAGGTACTGTATACATTTTTACAAGGTAAAACAATGTAAATATACCCTCAAATGTACAGTACTGACTCAATTGTGTATACACTTAAAAAAAAGATGCATGGACACTCAAAGAACCCTTTGCTTGAGTATAGGGGTCTTTACATCGTGAAAGCGTTCTTCAGACTAAGGGAGAATGTGCATGTGTTGAAAAAGGTTCTATATAGGACAAAAAGGGTTCGTCTCCAAGCTTGACATCATAACAATAGAAGAACCTTTTTGGTGCTACATAGAACTCTTTTTAAAAAGGTTGTGTATAGACCCATTTATAACAGAGTCTCCATCAATCTGAAGAACACTTTCATAATGCAAAGAACCCTATAATAATGCAAAGGGTTCTTTGAGTGTTCATGGTGCTAAATAGAATCATTCATGGTGGAGGGGTACATGCAGGGTGTCATAAGGCAAGATAATCCCCAAAGAAAATGTTTAGTGTTCAGAATTACCACTATTTTAGTATCATAAACATTCCACACAAAAACTTAGAAGACATGTGTAGGTTCACTGGTGGTTTTGGATAGTAAATAAAATGTCTATATTCGTGTTGTAGATAGGGTGACCTCTGGTCAATAGTGTCACACTGTCCACTGCTGATATTAATGTAGTGTGAAATGGCAGAAAAAAGTGAACAAGCACTTGAAAAAAATTCCGTCAGGTGTTTGTTGATTAAAGAAACAGTGGTTTTGAGAATCATCATGATTATTCATTACTCTTAATTTTGTAAGGTGACATGTTTCAAAACTTCCATTTCTTTAGTTCAGTTATGCTCTTTCTGTTTTCTTTTTTTCCCAGAAACGATGACCACTCCTTCATCTAGATCATATAAGAGTTTTCTAATATTCGTGGGCTGGCTTGCTGGATTTGGCACATGTTTGCTGTTTTTCCAATACATGTCACAGAACTGCTCATCCCGCCCTTTTATCCTCCATGATCAATCAAATGTTGCACCACATGAGAAAGAGGGAATCTCAAGCAACACTGATCCCACTCCCACTACCCCTCCAGCTGCTCAGCCAGAAAAACCCATCCTTCTGCTGTGGGTCTGGCCTGAGAACTACAGGTGGGACTTCAGTGACTGCAAAACCTTCTACAACATTGATGGATGTCACCTGACGGATGATAGAAGCCTGTATAACCAAGCAGATGCAGTTCTCGTCTACCACAGAGATATCAAATGGGATCTGAGCAACCTTCCTCCATCCCCTCGTCCTCCTTTTCAAAGATGGATCTGGCTCCATGCCGAATCACCAACTAACACTAAGAAAATTCCAGGTCTGGAAAATCTCTTCAACCTCACGCTTAGTTACAGACACGATGCCGACATCTCTGTGCGAAATCTACTGACTGTCAGCAAAACCCCAAAAAAGGAGTTTGAGCTTCCAAAGAAAAACAAGCTCGTCTGCTGGTTTGTGTCCAACGTTGACCCCAGTACTGGAACAGGAACCAGGATGAAGTACTATGAGGAGCTCAACAAACATGTAAAAGTAAATGTTTATGGAAATATGGCTGGATCGCGTATGAAGGACGAAGATTACTACCCTACCCTAGCCAGCTGTAAGTTCTACCTGTCGTTTGAGAATTCCGTCCATAAGGACTACATCACTGAGAAGTTGAATGGCCCACTTACAGTAGGGACTGTGCCAGTTGTTTTGGGACCCTCAAGAGAAAACTATGAACAATATGCTCCAGGTGATTCATTCATTCATGTGAATGACTTCCCTAATGCATCAGCGTTGGCCCAGTATCTACTTAAACTGGACAAAGATGATGAGGCTTACAGACGGTACTTTGATTGGAGAAAATACGTCTCTGCGACTCCTCATCTCACAATCATTAATCAGGAGTTTATTCCATATATTTGTCATGCCTGCGAATATATTGGAAGGCACAAAGAGTATAAACAAGCACACAATATTTATGACTGGTATTTTTCATAACTAATAGCTCTACTAGTTAGTTACTACATAAAACATAAATACATACAGTATTTATAAAGCGAGATTGATACATTGTCATGTATTATAATCTTTGATTTCATTAAAATTAACTAGAATACAAAATTAGAAAGTGACATAAGCTATCACAAAATCTAACACGGTGGCATCGGTTATGAGAATTCAGGATCATGGACGCTGCTTTAGGACTGAACAAAGTCTGTCATAACAACTCATGACAGCATATATCTACAATTACATGGTAATCATAGTGTTGTGTAGCAGGGACCAAGTGAAGTGTTACCAACTGAAATTAAAGAAAATTGCTCCATTTCTAATATTGTTATGAAGCATCGTTTCCCAGGAGCTAAACTTGAAAGGTCTGGTTAAAAACACCATATGGCAGTTTTGTGGAAGGGTTTGATTAAAACAAAGAAAAGTTATAATTATAAATGAATAAATATTCAAGATCCTGCACTACGTCTAAGTCACTGATCACTTTTTAGTAAAATCATCATTTTAAGGCCTTTGTGCAAAAAGATCTTTGTTTTTAGTCTTGTCACTTCTGTCATAGCTATGCAATTAGATGCATCTCAGGCAGATTTGATCTGCTCAGCAAAGGCTTTTGCCCAAATTTGTGGAGTTTATGGCCAGTTTGAGTACACTCTGTCATAAAGGCAATACACCTAATACTAAGAAATAACGAAATTTATGTTAAAATTTCAAAAGATTCTATTTTTCACTCGAATGTAATGCAGGTAATATAATTTGCAATACAATACTTTGTATAAAATGTAAAAAATGCAGAAGAATTTTTGGTAGTGGAGATTTTAGATCCCACCGATTGTGTTTCCTATACACACACACACACATACATACATACATACATATATATATATATATATATATATATATATATATATATATTAGAGTACTTTGGTAAAGTTACATGACTAGAAGTAGACATTATCTGACTAAAAAAGACCTGCTTTTTAAGTAAATGTACTGTAAGTACATAACTAATGTTGTTCTACTTTCATTAACAATTTCTATAAAGAGAGCCGTCTGTAACTGCAGACATAAAAAACTCAGGTAGTTGTTCATGTCCACAGAATTCTTATTAACAGAAACGGCAACTTTGTACTTTCATTACAAAAAGTGCAAATATTTGTAACTGAAACATGTTGCTTTAACTTCCATTACATGGGATCAGTGCTTCATAACAGTGTTATGAATGGAACAAATGTCCATCATTCTAGTTCAAGTCTCTTTATATAATTTCTTTCATAGAATCTTCATCATCATCTTGTCATATGCAGGTCATGCACATTCAAGCATTGCTTTATAAAGATGTTAGTCAATGCTTATGCATATCTTATGAATTCACTATGTCAGTAGTCTTCAAATAAAGTGTCAAATATAGGGTAATACCACAATGTAAATTAAAGATCATACGTTTTAAAGGAGAGTTACATTTATTTAAAGAGAAAAAAGAAGAAAAAATAACATTGTCTTTATATGGTATTCTACAGAGGAGTGCAATACCAAAATGAATGAAAACGAGACTTAAGCACATGTGCTGGAGTGGTTGTTGCTACTTGTACAGTTAAAAAAACACTGATCTGGATGTGAAACCAATCACAATCTTCACAACAACCGTTGCGAAAGCACCTCAATGCTCCACCTTCCTTGAAATCCCAGTGCACCTGCATCTAATTATAGCCCGCGCTGCATCCAGCACACCCCACCTAACAGTCATATGCATCTGCTGCCTGTCTCTGCTCTTTGTTCTTAAAAAACAGGATGAACACAGTTTTTCATAGCCCTTTTTGTACATTCATTTGTAAAAATAAACATATTTTAATTCTTTCGTACATATTTTGTTAAACGGTTCTTGGTGTGGAAATAAATCAGTGAAATATTAATGTAAAAAAGCTACAATTGCTGCTGTTTTGTCTGATTTTTGGGCCTGTATTCAGATGGAGGCAGTAATTCAGGCCGGTAATGTCACTGTAAGTCATAAAAACAAACGTGGAAAAATGATTAACTTAATAATTAAAAATCTCACAGCATCATCATATGTGGGCTGATTAAATGTCATCAGTCTATGACTACGCAGCCGTGGGCTCGCGATGCAGACAGCGAGCCAGAGATGGAGAGGTTTCTCAGGATGCTTTGTTTGGTTTGGGCTTATCACACCTTTTTTTTTAGTTCACTCCATTTTGACATGTGTGAACACTCTGTATTCAGGTCTACAAATAGCTGAACAGGTATGGCAAACAAACCCTTTTCAGCTCACTGCTGATGGAAATGCGCTTTGTGATCAAACGAGGGAATTCATCAACAGAGCTGGCTTTCCTTCTCTTCTAGAGGCACGTCGGCGCCGTGCAGTCAGCATAACAACCATTTTAATGACTGACTCTTTAGACACGCAGCACAAGCTGCTGTTGAAAACAATAGATGAGCCATTAAATAATAGAGAAGAGATGCATTTGATTTAGAACTTATTGGTCGCGGAGCGTATATTTGGTCGAGCATCAGCAACCTGAGTGGTTAAACTCAAACTGATGAATCAATGACAAAGAAGCAGATATCAGGTAAGACTTACCATTATTGTTAATTGTGACAATGCTAATCCAAAAGCCCAGTGAGTGAAGTGTGGTTTATTTCAAATGAATCAGAAAAACCCTCAAAACTATAGACTCTCAAGACCAAACAACTACTCTTTTGGAAAAGCCAGTGGAGTAATTTCAGTGCAAACGTGGTGGAGTGTAGCTCTAAATCATATTGTACAAACTACCTTGTACATTTTTATTTTTTTACATTTATTTTCCCCCAATCACTACAAACATGTGCTTTCTTTTAAACATGTTTCATGCTTTTTAACATACCTGCAAGTTTTTCAAACCTACTGACAACTATAATGGCCAATCTGATCTTTTTCTGGACCTCATTTTCAGGTTTTCAGTATCAGCATTTAAAAAAAGAAAAATAAAGCTGTATTTAAAATAGTTGATCTTAGTTCTCCTGTGGGCCGCTATGCTTTGTAGTTATACACAGGTGGGCTTTGAGGTGGAAAAGGTTGAGAAGCCCTGTTCTATGGCATTGCTCTAGTGCACCATTACAAACACTGTGTATATACCCTTTGCTACTGGCTCATTGAGGTTACATCATTTGCATGAACATATTTGAATTTAAATGGCCAGAAAGCATTTTCCTCAGGGTTGGATGTGACCAGCCACTCGAAAGACGATCCAGTGTGAATGTAAGGAATTCAGAACCATTAGCCTACTGTGTTTTGCAGACAGAGGAATTAGACCTCCGCATTTAATCCATCCATGCAGTGAAACACCCACAAACATGCACACTAGTGAACACACACACTAGGGGGCAGTGAGCACACTTGCCCGGAGCAGTGGGCAGCCCTATCCACAGTGCCCAGGGAACAGTTGGGGGTTAGGTGCCTTGCTCAAGGGCACTTCAGTCACGTACTGTCAGCTGAGGGGATCGAACCGACGACCTTCCAGTCACAAGGCTGGTTCCCTAACCTCCAGCCCATGAGTTCTATATAGAACAATTTCATGCTTAAACAGTTCTTTGCATGGTGAAACTGTTCTTCAGATTGATGGAGAATGCATTGTATATGGTTCTGTATAGTACCTGTGGTTCTATATAGCACCAAAATGTTATTCTACTGCTACGATGTCAAGCATGCAACACTACTCAGTAAATACTCTCCACTACAGTAATTCATTTCATATGAATTGGCACATTTACAGATAATTTATCTGTAATATGATGGAAACTGAACCGTAAACATAATGTGTAAATATGTAAACTTTGTATGCAGTATTTACACAGCAACTATTTTCTTGTAACTGAGAAACACAGAGCATAACTGTACACAGTGTTGATAACCGTATGTAGTGTTATAGATAAGAGGTAGGTTAACAAGTAATGTAAGAGGTATGTGTATTGCACTGTAAGACCTTGAAGAATTAAGAAAAAAACAACAACACAGGATGACGGAAAACATGGAAATGTACTGTACTGGTATAAGCTTAGTAGTGAAACAAGTCTTTAAATACAGAGAATATCTACATAATATACTTGAACGTATGAAGCAATTAAGCTACTAAATCCAAAAACCAGAAAGGAGTTCAGAGCAGGATCTAATGAGCAAGCATGGACCGAACTACAGCTCCCATCTGTCCCATGGCAGTGACATCACCTGCAGCACTGAGATGCTCAAAAACCTGACAGAAGTGGACTGCAGTTCTGGATTGAACTGCATTAGACTGTATTCAGTAATTCAGCAATAACAGCTGATCCAGTGCAGTCTAGTACTCTTGTCTACTTCTTCTGGGTTTCCATGTGTCTCGTCATTGGGCGGACTGTTTAATATGGTCTGTTAGCTTCTGCAGCTGAACCAGAGATTCTCTGAAATAAGGGGAGATGGCAATCCTCCATTGTTTAGCACTAGGGGGAAATGTCTGACCATGATGTCATCAAAGAGTTACAACAGTTCTCTTCAGCAATGGCAGCACAGAGTCATCTGTGGCTACCCGATCAGCACCATGCATGCTCGCCACTGTCACACCTGCATACACTGCATTATGTTTTACAGTGCTGCCTGATCTGCATCCTGAATCTTTTTTATCTGCCCTCTTTTTATTAGCAGATTAGTTCGGGGAATTTAATGCTGAAATCATTGTATTATTAGTATCATTCTCTTTTCTAGTGTAATACTACTTATTAAAGTTTCTTTCTGTGAGTGAAAACAGGTTCAGGTTAGAGCACAGGGAGACAAGAGAGGTACAGACAAAAACCTGCTCAATTTTTACTTTTTTTACTCATTTTTGTTTAGCGTGAGAGCATCTCTGTGGCTGAATCTCAGATGGCTCCTTACTCCCTATATAGTGCACAGATCATTAAATCTGGGACTCATACCGTAACCATAAAAATGTACTAAATGTTTGATAGGATGTTATGCGGCTTTGACTGAATTTGAACGGCTTGTATTTGGACATATGCACTGATTGCATGTAGTGCGCACTACATAGGAAGTAGAAAGCCATTTGAGATTGAGCCTGCATTTTGCCCAGCTCTGTTATTATTGGAGGGCAAATACAGGCTAAGAATGACATCATAAACAAAGCAAAACGGCTCAGCTAGATAATAACTTAAAGCTCTGTGTTTTTACTGATGAACCTGAACACTCAGGAAAAAAAGGTAGTAAACTGTCACTGGAGCTGTACCCCTCTTGTCACTGGGGTGGTGCCCTCAAGGGTACATCTCAATACTTTAGTCAGGGAACATAACTGTATTATAATCCATTGAAATTATATTTATCACTTAAGAACATGACTGATTTGTTACAGCTCATCTACAGTCAATACTTACATGTGTACTACAGGTCTGGTAGTACCGGTAAAAGTAACATTTTCTACGATTGCGTGACAGTCGTGTGCATGAGCAGTGCAAGTTGGGCATGGGACGCAAATTAGGTAGCGACGTCAGCAACTTTTAAGTTATGAACTTTACAAATGTTCATAAAAGTTAATTTATTAACTTTTGTGAAGTTAATCAAATGGAACAAATCATTACTGATCACTGCGATTATAGTTCACTGAAATACTGATGGTGGGAAACTACAGCCGTTAAGTCCTGTATATACGTGCACTGCAGAGTCTGAACTGCTGCTTTAGGTAAACTTCATAGCATTTAAAGTCGCTGTTAGAGACACTTTTCTGGGTTACTGCCCCAGACACTGTCTGATATAAGCTGTTGTGTAATGTGAACATGCCTTTCATTGTGCGAAGGTTGTGAAATTAAAGAAAATTAACAGGAAAAGGGAACAGATGTTTGCTGGCTTGCCAGTTAGTTAATTGTGTGCTACTTTGTTATACTTCAACTCATTT